ACTACTTTGCAAAGATTATTATAACAAACTTTAAAAGTACTATATTTAAAAAAGCCAAAGAGACTTTTCTAGATATTATGCATGTTTATATCAATTCAAAAGAACTCTTTACATACTCTTAAACATTGCGGAATAGAAAACTGGAAAATAAAAAAAATGGACTGAAGGGAAAAAGAGAGCTTTAGAGATCTGAGTTATCTATACCCAAGAGAGAGGGTCATAGGTAACTGAAACAAACCATAAGGAGATGAGTCAATGGAGAGGTGGCAAGCCCCAATTATCTTACAAACAAATCCATTAAAGGAATATTCTCCCTCTTCCATGTACTCCATAAGAAAGTGGATAAAAAACCTTAAAATAATCCATTTTACAACAAAATAAATTCACTCTGCAATAAAGAACAAATACTCATTAACACAGTGCAAAAGGGAAGTGATGAAGAAATGAATACAGAAAGAACAAAAAATCTAGCAACATAGAAGATGACTCACTGCAATTCAAGAAATCTATTACAGAAACAGGGAAATACAGAGACCAGATGGCACAAAGAAGCTTCCATACAAAGCCAAGAACAGCAATGAGTCCAAGATCTGGAAAGCATCCTTCAGCCCAGCACCATAGGCAAGAAGATGCAGTCATTAAATGGTGGGTTAAAAGACATGTTAAGCAAATTCATTTGCATGGCTTCATCAGGTAACTGAATTAAAAACTCTCCCACAGTACTGAATTTCAAAAGACTAGCAAAAATAATTTACCTTTGACTCATTAGAGATAAACAAAACAGGTTATAAATGACATACAGGATTCACCTGCCCTTAAATTTTCAAGTTGTGAAGAATTATCTTTGATAAATAGACAAGATCCACCTATTACTTTGGGGTTTAATCAACTTCTGTTTTTAGCTTTTCTAGAAATGAGCAGCCCCTACAAGAAGTAGATTAATCTCTTGTAGAAAGTGTTATTTTTTGTTGAAAACTAAAGAAATCATAATTGAACTGAACACATTGTTTTGGTTTGTTCGTTTTTTTTTTTTGGTAGAATGAATTTATATCTGAGTTCTCTAAGTCATTGTGTCCCCAAAATACAGAAAGAACCTTTATATGACAAATAGCAGTGTCATCTCTCTCTGAACTTATCAGAAACCGTTAATGCTGGCCTACTTGTTTGTTTCGCTAAATGTAGTGATTTGAGGGATAAAATTTTTTGATGCTCAACACCCTAACTCAGGAATAAAGTACCACAGCAGTATGCATCTTAAATACATTTTGATTTACAAGGCACAATGCTAGCAGTGATCCAGATCAATAATGTACAAGCTCCATTGTCCAAGGTATAGAATTTTCAACATTGCAAGTCAGGACAAGAATTGGCTTGGGAGGGAGCTGAAAGGCACTTTGTTTTCTTATTTTGCTGCCGAGTTATTTCAAAGAGAGAAGGGATAGACTAATCTCTTCAGCCAAGGCTGTGATTTGACACTCATTGGATGAAGCATAATAGTTACTGCAGTGAACTCAGGTTGAAAAGCAACACAAATTGCTGCATGAGTTTAGAAAGTAGACACCAAATAATAATCAACCATATGTTGTATATTAAAAGATGTTTTGCTCACAATTTGAGGGGCACATAGAGAAAAGTATAATAGCAAAAGACGAGGATGGCATCATCACAATAGGCATGTTTGTTGGCATGTTTTCCTCTATATAGTCCCTGTTCATTTCAGGCTGCTGCATCCTTGTTGCAGTATAACAGCTGGAGGTGTTGATCTTACCTTAAAAATAATTGTATTGGGGTCAAATTCTACACAAATACACGTACACAATTGTCATTTTCATCAAGGGATTTATGTCTATCTCTAGGGGAAAAAATAGGCTTATATTGTGTTAATGTTTTATACTGTGTATTTTTAAAGCACTTGTTTAATGAATATTCTTATAAGCCTTCTATTATCAGCATAATTGCTTGATAGATTTTGTTTGCTTGCTTCTTGCTTGCATTGCCCTGTGCAAGGTAAAAGTATCATGGAGTCATGGCTGAGACTTCATAGTTAAAAGTTTAAGAGTTTCCTTTCTAAACCCACTTTTGATCACCCTGCTTCACACAATTTTAAAAAATCTAGTTGCAGTATGACATTTTGCATGCTTTTCATATATCAGAGGAGACTACATTTTTGAACTGTGGAGAATAATTCTTCACAGGCAGAGAAATGGACTCTGTGACCTAACAGGTCTTTTCACACTATTTATATAGATATAGATATTTAGACATAGATAGATAAAGATGTATGTAGAGAAAGCTTCCTTTCTCCAAGGGGGAAAAAAAACCCAACCCTACTAGGTTTTGCTTTGTTTTTATTCTGGGGTTTGATTATTTTTACTTTTTTTTAATGTCACTAAAGTATTTACATGAAAAGTAAACCTACTTGAAAGTTTGTTACTAGAAACAGACTCTTATTTCAGTCTGTTAATGAGACACTCTCTTTCCAAAGCTAAAAAGGGAAAGTGATAAATTATTTCTACTAGGCCAATTAGAGGAGGAAAAACAAAGTTATAGATCTGTCACGAAGCCTAGAAGGGAGATATGATGGGTAGAACCATGATTGACCTGAGGGGAGTATGGATGGAATTAATTGCCATTGGATATTGGAGAGATGGGTGGGTAAAGTTATGAATTATTAGGCGGCTTATTCAGTAGAATCTAGCATTCAATAGAAAGTGAGCAGAAAATCTGAAAATGTGGTTTTATGTAGAGCTGAACTGCTCATCTTAGTTTTAGTTTTCAGAGTGTTTAATTCATTATGTGGTTGTTTCTCGTTTTCACAGTAGTATATGTGAAAGCTGCTGATCAATACTGCAAACAGTTTATTATTGGTTAACATACCTAAATTGATTGGACTGATCATTAAAACAGATCATTTTTCTTAGGTATATTGAATTGGAATTGTTAAATAAAAGATAAATAATTCAGTCATATTTCAAAAACTGCAGAAAATCAGTTTCTTGATGATTAATTGAAGTTGAAGAATAGAACATTTCAAAAGACTCTGTCCTTCTGTCTAGCCAGCTCACCATCAGTAGAGTATGATTTTAGCACATAAGAATTGGTTCGGTCAAAACTCGCAATAATCTAGGGCCTACATTTTTAATAGTGACTAGTTATTTTGTGTGCTTAAGTTTTTGGTTGTCCAATCTGGGACAATTTAAAGGGCCTTGGTTTTCAGAGAGTGGATACTCAGTGCTTTCTGAAAAATGCATTTTTAAGGCATTTGGTGATGTTGGATGCCCAGTTTGGGTCATATTTGAAAATAGAGACTTAGGCACCAAAAGAAAGAAGTTGACAAAAATGTTGTTGGTATATAGGGGAGTAGTAGGACCAACTAGTTAGCAAAGTGAGTTCTCAATTGTGTTCGTGTTTTACTTACAGAACTGCAAGCTTTTCATGTGGATGATATTTATGCCATTGTGGCTGAGGAATAAATATGCTTACAAAATGAATCACATAGTATGTGTTATGTTTCATATAATAACTTCTTTGTGTTTCCCCGGCTTCTATTTTTTACAGTTTTCCCTTCCTCCCTCTCCCTAGGGAAAAAAATGATTTATATTTTGGGATGAGGAAAGTATCACAATCCTGATTCCTGCTTTCCCAATACAGTCGAGAAAAAAACATCATGTATATTTTACACATCAAACACGTAATGACACTGTACTGTACTCCATTCACCCATTGGTCAGAGAACTTGCCCTGTATATACAGGGCAAGTCAAATTTTGCTGCATTCACCATATATAATGGGCTGCAAAACCTCATTGACCATACACTTCCTCTCAATACTGGCCTGAACTCTCCCTCTACCAGGGGAAGGACAGCTATGAGTTAAAGACCTTAAAGCTATAATTAGTATCCACAATATGAGAGGATTGGTGTGTTTAAAGGATAGCGTTCACATTGCATATGGAACATTAATTGTGAGTTCTCACTTTCAAAAGTGCTTTAGACAACTCTGATGTTCTAATAATGTTTTGCTAAATGAATGTTTAATTGATTTACAAATACATTTTATCTTATGAATTTTACTGCATTTGAGTTTTGTGCAGAATATTTCTTACAATATATCTTTTTTCTGCAAGTCAGTAAATGGGTAAAATCTTTATATTCTACACACAATTTATTGTAGAACAAAAAATATAATCCCCAATAGAAATGTAGATTCACTTGTGTTCTAGTCATAGGGAGGAAAAATGCATAAAATGAGTGTATTACAATATGCTTGGTCATCCACAGAATGACCATCTCAGTTACCTACTAAAATGTACTAGGTTGGTTTTGGTTTTTTTTTAAATTTTGCTAACAAAATCAGGAATTAATTGAATTTTTAAATTAATTTCTTTTGACCCAAAAATAAATTTGACCCAATTTATAAATTAAATATAAAATTTACTTATTTATTAAGAAGAAATCTGGTTAATTCAATTCAGATTACTCTTAATTTATAGTTTCTCTTCTATCTTGTTCTGCATTTGAAACTATGCCCTTAGTGATACCAGTGCAACCCAACTGCCTTCAGATTATGTGCTTGTGACATCGTCAATAAATTTATACAGGTGCAATTGATTTGAATATAACAGTTCTGTTGATGTAGCTGAAGAAGGGACAGAATCTAGCACTTCTGTAAATTTTGTTGGTTCTGTAGTACTAACAAGAATAAAACAATAAAATTTATTTTTTCTATAAAGTCAACAGGTATCACTCAGAGCAGATCTTTTGAATAAGGTGTTGCCATTTCTCAGTCACTTCTCAAAAGTACACCCACACTTTAACAATGAAATTACTGATATGTACTTTCAACATTAACTCCAGGTTATAGAGTTGGGCTGAGAATTTCCATCTGTCATGCTCTTCTGCCTACAGGTCACCACTTGTCAGTATCCTAAGAAAGTAAAGTCAAAAAGAGATAAACAGTGTGCTTTCTCTTTAATCCTTAGTTATCCTTTTCCCTTTCAGCACCCTCCTTGATAGGTGTGGTAAGGAAGGACTGGGCTTCCCAAAACAGCATTGCCCTCTCATGGCAAGAGCCTGACTTTCCCAATGGAGCCATTCTGGACTACGAGATCAAGTACTATGAGAAAGTAGGTCTTGCTTAGAACATCAACCAAATAAAACCCTACAGAGCAGCATGTTATATATTGAAATATCTTTATATTTTTTAAACTTGGAAACTTGTTCTCACTTTATTTATCCCATATACAATCATTAGGTTTAAGTGTTAGTTTTGTTTTGTACTGATCTATTTATGTTTTGATTTGTCTTGTTTTATGTCAGATTTGAGAACAGTAGAAAAAAATAGATATGCACATCTCATGATGCCACATTAGTGAGGTTTATAAACACTGTTAAATGAATGGCCCCTTTGACGTGTTTTGATGTATAGACTGCCATGATATTGTTGATATAATACAATTATAACAAATGTCATTGTGATTACATTTTTTGTGGTCTGACTTAGCAACAACCTGAGGCTAAATTACACAGTATACATTTCTAGCTACAGGATTAGCAAAGAACAGAGAATATTAGACTAAACAAAATTGCATTGTTTTTAAGATTAGAAAGAAAAATGAGAACCACATAAGTGGTATTCTTGTCAGAAGTCTGAACCCAAAATCTTCAAGCCCATTTGGGCAAAGGTGCACACACACTTCCCTCACTCCAGATGTAGATGTGCACATATGTAAGTACAAACTGGGGTCTGCTTTTCCTCACGTCCATTCTGTGCACATTTGCACACCCCAGTTTGAAGAGTAGGCCTCGCTACAGAATAAAAGTTTGTGGTAATTGGTACCTTCATGCTTTGAGAAACATCTAGGAGTTTTCAGGTATCTGCATCTCAACCTGCCAAACTAAGGAGATAATAGTATTTCCTTTTCCCTTTCTAAGAAGCACAAACCAATGAATGGAAATGAGAAAAGAGCCCTGAGGAGGAAGTCATAAAGCATAGGACAGGAAAAGGGAGTTATATTTTTACTTTGTAAATATCTGGGCTTCTTGTTTTTCAGTCTGAGAAGTTCTGAGCCTGCAGTTCTGTGCACAGTTATGCTGTTTTATTAAAGCTAGAATTGAGAAAAGCCCAACAATTGAAACTACTCAGATTGAAAAACAAGTTACACTGTTTTTCTTATTTGGTAAACAAACCAATGAGGCCTGGAAAATCCAGATTCCAGGGATCCTCAAGGATCTATTACATAACTTTTCCCATGTTGCTTCCCTATTATGACTTGAGCTGGCACTTGTTTTATTTATCAACAATAAAAAAATCTCTTTCTGAATTAGAAAGATAAATACTATAATCTATTAAGAGATTAATTCAACTGCAGGAAACATTTTGGCTCATTCCACAGATTGGCCATCAAAATTTTAGCAAGGATATTAAGTTGTAAGCATTATATTTACACAAACTCATTGGTAGATTATACTCTGAAGACAATACAGTGTTACTGAGCAACTTGGCACAGGAATCCTCTTTAATAGTGTCAATAGGGCACTAAAAACTAGCACTGCCTAGGGAAGTTGACCTTTGCACAGTAGAGGCACATGCTTCATAGTCTTAATAGGTATATATACCTCAAACAAATCCTGTCCAACCCCATATAGGAAGTACCATTTTCTTTTCTAGTCCTTTATAATGCATCAGGGGTATTTTTCTACTGTAAGCAATTCTCTTACACATGATGGGTGGGAGGAGGATTTATTGCTGGCATATGCAGCAATTCTCCCAGTGGTTATTTTCCCCTTAGTGCATTGTGATAGTCAGTCTACTGAATCAATTTTTTAACAAAGCATCTTTTGTCAATAGCCTACAGGAGACACTCTTTTGGCAGAACTAATTAGAAGGCAACCTGGGAGACAAGCAGGGGCAGCAACAACTGTAGAAAGATTATTAAGGGGAAAAAAGAGATGTTACAACTTTCTCTGAAACATCAGGCATGTACCACTCTTGCAGGCCAGATTCTGGAAAGATAGACCAGAATCATGTGCTGTACTGTGATACTGAAATAGGAAATTTGATTTTATGCCATATTAATGTCTTTGATGTAGCCATGTTAATGTTTTTATATAGAACCATTGTAATGTTATTTATATAGCACCTTTGGAGTACATTAGGCTTTGCAGACATAACAAATGGGTATAATGGCCAAATGCAAAGCAAAATTGTATGCTGAAATGAAGAGGAAAGCCCCTACCCCAAAACCAGAAAATACAAGTCTGGCCTTTACAAAAATCTATTTGTCCTCACCCTGAAACTCCTCGGAGTACAGTTACTAAAACCCCAGAAGAGCAATATTACAGTAAAAGCTGTGTTCTCCAGCACTTTATCAACCAGAAAGCTCTATTAACTGGCATTTCTGATATTCTCCAATACAAATCTTCAATCTAGTAACCAGGACTAATATACTGCCCAGGAGGTTATGCAATTGCACATTCTGCGCTCTACTTTTATGCAAAAGAGGCGGAAGTCAAATAAGCAAGCTGATATCAGGGATTTATTCAAAAAAGCAGCTTCCAGGGTGTGTCATAGGGTCATTACAGATTCAGCCCAATCTCCTACACCTTCTATATCTACAATGATAATTGATGTTAATAATGATGACTCTGAGGCACTGCAAGATCCTGAAGTGCCTTCTGAATCACCAAAAAAAGATTAAATTATGTTCAGTATAGTTTTAGTGTTAAGTGTACTTTTTAGTGATCTGGGTGTACACCATATGCTGCCCATAGTGATATGTAGTGTCAGTAGATCACCTACTGTATAGAAAACTTTACCTGTATATACCTAAGTGCTTCAAGAAACCAACCACTCTGCAGTGCAGTACTACTACCGATTGGATTGGTGAATACTTGTATACTGTACTACTGTATTTTATACTTTATTCATTTTATTGTATTCTAATTCTTTGAAAATTGGTATTCCATTGGTAAAAGTATAACTCTCAGTTAACCGGAATATTTGATTAACCGGCACCCCCACCCACACTCCCCAACATGCCGGATAACAATGTTTTTACTGTAGAAGGGATGTCTAGAATCACAGAAGCTTCCCAGCAACATTTGGTGGTGGAAATATCAACAGTCAAGTTCTCAGCAGCCACTACAAGCCTGAAATGGGACCGTTGTCATAAACGTGTAGAGACTGTGAAGATCTGACATAGGAATGTGAATGATGTTACCGCATGGACATCCTTGTATTGTGAACTTTGAAAATTGTGGCCAGCATTCTGATTTATGCCTAATTGGAGTCCAAAAAAGAGTTGGGTTATGGTATCTTACTGCCCAGTTTACTGTGGGTCTCCCTTAAGTGGAAATACACAGTTCTAAGACCTCAAAATAAGCCGGTCCATCAAACCTAAACTCAAGACAGCAGAGAAGTTCTGTATAATAAATGTGAAGTTCTCACTATGCAAGGGGAAAAAAGTCTTCAGGAGGCAATAAAAATGCATATAGTGATGCATAGTTCCCAATCAATCTTCATTTGCCCCAAATATTGCTATAAAGACTACCGCAAATAAGAATGGAACAGATATTGCAGACTATTCTTAGTTTTTTTTCCTGTATGGTATCCCATTTGCCTCCCATTCGTATTAGAGGGAAGACTGGGTTTTACCCCCACAGACATTGCAGAACTGAGTGCCTCCTTCGAACACTCCTGTATTTGAAAGCAGCATCTAGAACAGGGGTCGGCAACATTCGGCACGCGGCTCGCCAGGGTAAGCACCCTGGCGGGCCGGGCCAGTTTTATTTACCTGCTGACGCGGCAGGTTCGGCCGATTGCGGCCCCCACTGGCCGTGGTTCGCCGTCCCAGGCCAATGGGGGCAGCGAGAAGCCGCAGCCAGCACATCGCTCGCCCGTGCTGCTTCTCGCCGCCCCCATTGGCCCAGGACGGCGAACTGCGGCCAGTGGGGGCTGCGATCGGCCGAACCTGCTGCATCAGCAGGTAAATAAACTGGCCCGGCCCGCCAGGGTGCTTACCCTGGCGAGCAGCGTGCCAAACGTTGCCGACCCCGATCTAGAATCTGAGTTCATCTGAATAACACAGTGTATGACAATAGTTTAACTCTGTGAAACCCTGAGGATTTCAGCAGAATTATTGGATTATTTTTTAATCCTTTTAAAAGTAACAGTTTATGTTCTCTGGAGCTTTCTTTGGTGATTTTTGGGAACAGGCCAGAGAGACATTCTAGACCTCTATAGGGAGTTCTGCATTCATTTAACTATAGCCACCAGGACTTCCTCATCCCATGAACAAAACTTCTTGTCCCTTGCGTGCTTCTAAGATTGCTCAGAAGATATGGGAAGCTTTAGTACTGGGATCACAATGGAATTTTTCCTGTTGAGGCCAAACTGGCATGTGGTCCAGGGGTTTTCACGTCCTCACAGCCTCCGAGAGGCACAATTGGGTTGAAAACAGTAAAATACAGAAGTTTGCATAATGCTATTAAGACCACTGACTTGTCGCCACTTGCAGCCATTGTTCAGTGCAAGTAGAGGCTAAAAGAGCCAGTTCCTAGAGGTAAATGAGATCTGGGACTCTGCTGTTGGACCTTTTTGAGAACTTAGCCTTATTGAGGGAACAGGAACAAACCATCCCGTTGTGCAGAAAGAATAGCAAATATGGCAGGCGACCAACTTGGCTTAACAATGAAATCTTCGGTGAGCTTAATCTTAAAAAAAGGAAGCTTACAAGAAGTGGAAACTTGGACAGATGACTAGGGAGGAGTATAAAAATATTGCTTGAGCATGCAGGGGTATAATCAGGAAGGCCAAAGCACAACTGGAGTTGCAGCTAGCAAGGGATGTGAAGGGTAACAAGAAAGGTTTCTACAGGTATGTTAGCAACAAGAAAAAGGTCAGAGAAAGTGTGGGGGGGCATTACTGAATGGGGGAGGCAACCTAGTGACAAATGATATGGAAAAAGCTGAAGTACTCCATGCTTTTTTTGCCTTGGCCTTCACAGACAACGTCAGCTCCCAGACTGCTGCACTAGTCAGCACAGTATGGGGAGGAGGTGAGCAACCCTCAGTGGTGAAAGAACAGGTTAAGGACTATTTAGAAAAGCTGGACATGCACAAGTCC